AAACCAGTAGGTGGCCTCTTACTATTCTGGTGATTAGTGGGGGATGGAGGGTCTTGGCTAAGGGCCTCCATGGAATACTCCAGAAAGGGTCTGTACAAGCAGGGTTTCCACAGCAGGCCGCTGGCTCTTTCCTCTCGAGCTCCATTTCCTTGTATGTGTCCAGGCAGAGATCTCTGTGAGGAATGGTCCTGTCTCTGACCCCTTGGGGGAAGGAGGTGAAGAGGCTCCTCCAGTCCTCCTCAGAAGTCCTGGCTCCCTCAGTTCCTGCCATTCCTGAGCAGGGTGTCCTGCCGGGACCTTGCCTTAGTCATGCAAGGCCTCTCTCCCCACAAGGCAGGACTGGAGTCCAGCTGCTCTTAACTGCCAGCAGTATGCTGAGAAACGAGGATGCCTGACCTCGAGGGAAACGTCCCAGGCTGGCCTTCCTGATGCAGGGAATGGGAATAGAGTAAAGACAGTCTGAGCCCACCCCAGCTGGGGAATGCCAGATGCCATATTATCCTTGACAGGGCGGGGCATTAAAAGGCTGGTTCCTTGCTGGATTTTGACTTTTAAATAAAGGCTGAACTGCCTTTTCCTTCGGGGGGGGGGTCACTGCCCAAGAAGCCCCATCCCCTGCCTTGAGACAGCCATGGGGGCCAGGCAGGAGCATGCCCACAGGCCCTGGGTGCCAGCTCTCCATGGAGAGAGGCTGCGAGCCTGCTTAGAGCTGGAGGTCCAGGAGAGAAGGTTCTGTAACTGAAGTAAATACTCCTTTGTAAAAGCTCACTGATAGCAAGAGAAGAACGGAGCTGGGGTGCTAGTTACCAGCCCCAGCAATGACTGGGGACCCAACTAATGGGGCTTAGACTGGTGGATGGAGAAGAGACCCCCTAACTCCTCAGGCTTACCTGCAGGGGCAGATGTAGCAGCAGCCTGGCTCTGGGACAGAGGGCTGGTTCACCACCCATACCACAGAAGAGTGAAATGAGCCAAAGGGGACAAATCTGCCTTGTTCTGCTTCTAGAGGCCCCATCTCTCCAAACGCTTCACTGGTAATTGTAAGGGGCACATGTGTACCCTCCCTTAGAAAGAATCCAGAAAATGGCCTCCCCAGCCCTGCTTACAAAGGGTCAGAGGGAGGGGCCCGATATTGAATGCCAGGCACTCAACCCAGGGTCTGGGAATGGGTCTTTTTCATATTTTGTGGGCTGTATCAAAACATAATTATCTTCCTTTGTGACTCCAAATATTTTTTCTGATTACCTTAGAAGCACAGTGCAGAGACTAGCGTTCACCAGCCTGCCAAAGGGGTCCAGGACTCAGAAGAGGTGATGATCCCCTGCTCTGTAGGACCTGAAAAAGGAGTTATGGCCTGGTCCTTGGTGTAGGTGAGGTAGGCAGCTGCCTCTTTGGGATGATTTTAGAGATGCCAAAGGACCCCCACATCCTGACCAAACTCACCAGGGAAGCCTCCTATTTCCACCCTTCAACGTAAATAAGATTTAGTGGAAAGAGCCTGGGATCCAGGAGTCAGCGTGACCCTGGGCAAGTCATGTAACCTCTGAGTTTCATGTCTGTCTCCTCATGTGGGAAACAGAAAGCCCCTCCCCCTGCCAGTGGCAGGGATGCATCATGGTGTCCTCAGGAGAACAGGCAGCTGTTTGATGGGTCAGGCTCATTACATTTTCACCTGGAGTGGTCTGATTAAACTGAGCACAGGAGAATGTCATGTTGGAAATTAGAAATTGTTTTGACTTAAAGTAACTTTCACAGATGTAGCAAGCAGCACACACATCCAGTGGTCCTGCGTGGGAGGACTGACCTTGTGGGATCGGTGCCCTGAAAGCAGACAGAGGACCATGACCAAGGCCAGTGCGGACCGCCAGGCTCAGCCCAGCCAGGGCCTGTGGCAGCCGTGGGCACAGACACCCACATCCAGAGGAAGAAGGCGTCCAGCTTGTGCCCAGGCACAATGCGCACGACGAGTAAATACTGCAGGTTTTATCATCCCAACAGGGAGGCCACTGAATCACTGGGGAGCACCCAGAGGATGTCAATGAGGAGGGCAAAGGGCATTGAGCTCTTCTCATACAAGGGTAGATAGCCTATCTCATAGACCATGCCCATACACTATCTTAGAACCTGGGTAGAGTATAAATGAAATGAGACAGTAGTGCAGTCAGCCAGTCAAATGCATTTGGAAGAATGCCTGGCTAGCATTTCTACAGAGCTTTACAAATATTATCTCATTTGATCCTCACAACAACCCTGGGAGGGAGGTGTGGCTATTATCCCATTTTACAGATGGGGAAACTGAGGCTGGGAGAGGTTAGGTGCCTTGCAGGATCAGACAGTTGCTAAGTATCTGAAGCAGGATTTGAACTTGGGTCTTCTTGAATCCAAGTCAAGCATTCTTTCCATTTCACCACCTAGCTACATGCATTTAAGAACTTAAGACATGCCAGGCATTGTGTGCTAAGTATGAGGGATACAAAGAAAAGCAAAAGCACAACCCCTGCTCACAGGCAGGGAGCTCCCAGTCCAGTGGTGGAGAAAACACACGAACAACCCTGTGCATCATATAAGAGGCGTACAAGAGCAGGGGGAGGCAAACTCGCATGTGGGGGGACTGAGGAGGCTGCTTGCATTCTAGAATTCAGGCTCCATCTTGAAGGAAGCCAGACAGCAAAGGCAAGAAGGGAGAGCATTTCAGGCATGGGAGACAGCCAGAGAAAATTCTGGGAGTAGGGGGACGGAGAGTCCTGATGGAACAGCCAGAAGGCTGGGGGCACTGGACCAAAGAGAACGTGGGGGGAGGAAGGTGTGAGAAGACTGGAGAGGTGGAAGGGGCAGAGCAGGTTAGGAAGGGCCGAGAAGGCCACAAGGTTAGTGGGTGTGACCTGGGTGAGGATCTGGCAAAGGAGACAAAAAAGAGCAGTCAGAGAGGCTGGAGGAGAATCAGGAGATAATTGGGGGTCCTGGAAGTCCAGAGAGTGGACAATATCAAAGACAACAGAGTGACCAGCAGTGTCACAAGTTCCAGACAGGTCCAGAAGGATGAGGACTGGGAAAAAGGGGAGAGATCATTGGGAACTTTGGAGAAAGGAGCTTTTGGGGGGGCAGGGCAATTGGGGTTAAGTGACTTGCCCAGGGTCACACAGCTACTAAGTGTCACGTGTCTGAGACCACATTTGAACTCATGTCCTCCAGATTCCAGGGCTGGTGCTCTACCCACTTTGCAACCTAGCTGCCCCGAGGAGTTCTGACTGAATGGTGATTTAGCAAGCCTGACTGCAGAGAGTTTAGAAGGGAGAGAGGAGAGGAAGGGAGGTGCTAATGGTCGCTGGCTTTCTCAGGGAAGGGAGTAGAGGCATGGGATGGCCACATTGAAGTGGCACTCAGGTGGTCTAGTGGCGGAATGGATGATAAGGGAGCTCGGCTCAGAGTTGCACGCTTGGTTACTCCAACTGTCCACAGAGCAGTTGGAGTGGGGAGGGGTGCTACCATTGTGGGTCTGCTCCCACTTTAGACACTTGCTACTGCTTCTGGCCCTCCAGCTCCAGGACCAGTGTTCTGGGGGACTGACTTGGCGGCTTGTTTGCATGGGGGTCCCTCCTCTCCCTGTGAAGGAGGTTCCTGGCCATGGCTCCCTGCCCTGACTCCCTATAGCAGCATCCCATGTGGCGTGGTGGGGAAAGCCCAGGTTTGACCCTGGTTACTGGCTAGACTTCCTGGGCCCCAGCTTCGTTATCTGTAAGATCAGAGGGAGCACTGATGATGCCTAAGGCCCTCCCAGCACTAGATCTAAGGGCCTATGCATGGTAGAGAGCTGAATTTGAGTCAGAAGGCTTGGACTGAAGCCTTGTTGTAGGATTGACTGTGACCTTGAGTTAGCTTCCCTCCTTCCTCAGGTCTCGGTTTTTTCCTCTGTCAAGCAAAAGGTGAGGGAGGTGTAGACGACCCACCACAAAAGGCACAAAGGAGATGCTGGGGGGTGGGCTCGTGACCAGCACCTGGTTCAGAGGCTATTTGGGAGCCCCCAGTTCCCTGGCTGCTCCCTAATACCCAGTGAAGGCTTTTCATATTCTAGTCACTTAAAGCAATAATTCCAAGACTCTCATCTACATGGACTAGTCCGAGCAGGGAATGATCCCTGGGAGACGTGCCAATGGCAGAAACAGGTTTATAAGCCACACACCTACAGAAATATACTCTGATCCTTAACTCAGTAACCCAATGATGAGTGAACATTTGGTCGAATTTCTATGGCAGAGGAAGTGAAGAAATGTTTGAAGTAGGGAGGAAGAGGAAGACAAAGGATTTATCACACAGTGAGGAGGGAGAAGAAGGGAAAGGATTGAGAATCCTTCATGATTGTAGCCCCTCAGCACTGAGCACAGGGCCTGGGACTGAGGCAGAGCTCAATCAAGGTTTTTTAAAAATCTTTTAATAGTATTTCTTCCAATTACACGTAAAGAAAGTTATCAACATTCACTTTTACAAGATTTTGAATTCCAAACTTTTTTCTCCCTCCCCTTCCCCTTCCCAAGACAGCAAGCAATCTGACATAGGCTATGCATGTGCAATCATATGAAACATATGTCCACATTAGTCATGTTGTGAAAGAAGAATCAGAGAGAAAGGGAAAAGCCATGAGAAAGAGAAAATAAAACAAAACAAAAAGGAGAACAAATAGTCTGCTTCCATCTGTATTCGGACTCCACAGTTATTCCTCTGGATGTGAATAGTATTTTCCATTGTGAGTCTTTCAGAATTGTCTTAGATCATTGTATTTCTGAGAAGAGCCAAGTCTATCATAGTTGGTCATTGGACAATGTGTCTGTTACCGTGTACAACATTCTCCTGGTTCTGCTCACTTCACTCAGCATCAGACCATCCAAGTCTTTCCAGTCTTTCTGAAGTCTGCCTGCTCATCATTTCTTATAGCACAATAGTATTCCATTACATTCATGTATCACAACTTGTTCAGCCATTCCCCAATGGATGGGCATCCCCTCAGTTTCCAATTCTTGGCCACCACAAAAAGAGCTGCTATAAATTTTTTTGTACACGTGGGTCCTCTTCTCTTTTTATGATCTAGATACAGACCTAGATAGAGACCTAGAAGTGGTATTGATGGATCAAAGGGTATGCACAATTTTGTAGCTTTTGGGGGCAAGATCCCAGCACATGTGTCCTTACCTGCAAAGCCATTCCCTCACTTCAAAATTAAACTTCTGTTTGATTCCTGACTCTCCTGTCTCTAGCCTGCTCTGTTCAGCTCTGGCCACCCATAGGTTAGAGGCCAGTTTGGTCCAGTTGGTAGGAGAGATATTGTGGAGATAGGAACAGCGAGGTTTGAATACGGGGTGAAGGAGAGGGAATCCTGAGAATGGCTCCAAGGTCATGAACCGGCTGACTGGAAGGTTGGTAGTAAGATACCAAGAATGGAGTTTTTGGAGGAAGTGTGCATTGGGAGGAAGATGATGGGTTCCATTTTAGATGTGCTGAGTCAGATCCCCACTGGCCATCCGACAGCTGGAGATGTGGAATGGCAGCTCTGCAGTGGAGACGCTAGATCTGGATGTCATCTGCAAAGAGATGATAACTGAACCCATGGGAAACATCAGCGACAATGTACGGGAGGTGGGGGGGGTAGATAAAGAAATAATATTTGTATCTCTGTCCCGAATGCCATTTACAGACTTCTTCACTTTCACATATTCAATAAATTATTTTTTATCTTTCCTGTGAGGGAGGCATCCATCCATCCATCCATCCATTCATTCATCCAACGAGCATTTATTAAGCACTTGCTTTTCTGAGTAATGTGTTTAGTGCAGTTTCTAGTAACAGTAGGTGCTCAATAAATGTTTGTTGACTTGACTTGTGTCAAGCACTAGTGATACAGAGAATAAAGTGAAATATCCCCTGCCCTCAAGGGTTTTTTGTTCTATCAGAATGAAGACACACACACTCTAGTAAGTGACTTTAAAAACCACAAATGGTGTTATTTCACAGAGGCACAGAAATCATTTCAGATAAAGACATATTTAGATAAAGAAATTGAGAGTATGAGAGGTTAGGTCCAGAGCAGTATCACACAACCACCTCTAGCTTCACACTACCAAGTAGTCTTGGGTCTGTCTCAGACTCCAGTTTGTCAGAGAATAGAGTCATAGACCCAGAGGATGTTAAAGCACCTTCATTTTGCAGGTGAGGAAACTGAGGCCCCTCTGAGTTATTATTGCAGAAGCCTACCATTTTGTCCTCATGGAGCAGCCCCTTCTGTCACCACAGCCCTTGACCCACACAGATACCCTTCTCTTGACCTTCTGTTGTATGTTTCTTGAGTTGACCAGAAGCACTCATCATTTCGGGTAGGAGATGCCCTGAGTTTACACACCTGTAACAGAGATAATATCATAGTTGGACTAATGATTGATGGCAGAATATACAGTTTTCAGAAAGTTCTCAAATGCAGATTCTGTAGGACTGGGACAGTGTTATAACCAAGTCTCAAATATCGCCACAGCCCTGCACTTTGACTAAGAAATGGCCTTCTCCAGAGGCAAAATATTCAATATAATTCATATTTGAGGTCACCCTGGGACTTACTGTGAATTTAAAAAGCAAGAGCCAAATTGAGTAGGGGAAGGAGAAGGTATATATTTAAAAATGAAGGTGATGTTTAAAAAATCAATAAAAATTAAAACCAAGAGCTAGAGATTCAGTCCCACCTACTATCCTTTGTGTGTGTGTGTGTGTGTGTGTGTGTGTGCGCGCGAGGCAATTGGGATTAAGTGACTTGCCCAGGGTCACACAGTGTCAAGTATCTGGGGCCACATTTGAACTCAGGTCCTCCTGACTCCAAAGCCAGATCCCTATCCACTGAGCCACCTAGCTGTCCCTCTCACCTCCTTTCCTAATAAAAAAAAAAAAAGAAGTCAGGAGATTTGGTTCAAGTCCTAGCTTTCCTTTATTACTGTGTGATCTTGAACAAGTTAATTTCCCTCACTGAGGTTTCAGTCTCATCTGAAAATGGGACTAACTTGTACTACCCACATCTGGTGATGACAGCTCTTTGTAAACTCAAAAATAACATCACTGTAGTAAGTTAAGAAAAATAAATGAAACCTGTTTTCTCAGAAGCCTGAGGTGTGCAAAGTCAGGGCTGATGTAACCCGGGCCAGCCGCGCCAACAGGGAGCAGAGCAGGCATGACACAGGACAAACTCTTCTGTAATTCCTAGCCTGTCAGTGCCCAAGTCTGGAATGTGAATAGCCCATCTCTAAGGAGCAGCCCCTGTGGCTTCCACTCAGGAAAGGAGAAACAGGAAGTGAAACCAGGTCCTGAAGCTCTCGCCACCTAAGGCATGGTGGATCCAGTTCTGTGGGCACAGCCCACGCCCTCTCACTCTTACATCCGTGCTGGCTCCAGGAGACTCTGGCCTCACTCATACATTCCTCCTTGGCATCCCAGCCTGGCCTCACTCAGGGCTTTCCTGTTCCTAGGCCACATTAGCCCTGAGCCCTGTACAGGCATCTTGGAGAGCCAGAGAGCTCCAGTCTGGATGCCCGATGCAGAGCTCCTCCGGAGAGCTTCCAAAGCTAGTAACAAGCGCCTGCCACTGAGGCAGCAGGAAAATGAGACTGCCAGCCTTCCAGGGGGTGCCAGCCAGCTGCCAGCTGCTGTCCACAAGAACTAAAAATATGTTTGGGAGAGAATGAAGGATGAATCATCTGGGCTAGGTGTCTCACAGAAATAAACGCCTGTTGGTTGATTGCTTGAAACACATCTAGAAAGGCCCTCTGCTCCAGCCGGGCCTGTTTTGTTGCAACAGACAGCCTCCTAAAAGACTTCATTAGGATTTGTGTCGTCAGTTTCATTCTAAACCCTCCCAGGGAAGTGTGCATGGGCTGGGTTTGAGCTCCCCCTCACAGAAGTGTTTCCTCTCACTCCCCCTGACACCCTCTGGCTTCCACCCAAACTGCTCTGCTCCCCGCTCCTCCAACTTCTCATCCCATTGGTCCCACCTTTGTACTTTTGCAGTAGCTGTTTCTCATGTCTGGAATAGTCTCCAGCCTCTTTCTCTGTCTTTTCCTCTTCATGAAAGACATATTTATGTATTAGCCACATTGCAGCAAGGGGAGGGGGGATAAAGTGGAAAACAATATGCTTCCATCTGCACTCAGAGTCCACCCGTCAGTCTCTGCAGGTGGAGAGCATTTTTCATCCTGAGTCCTTGGGGATTGTCTTGGGTCGTTTTATTAGTCAGAGCAGCTGAAGCTTTCACAGTTGATCATCGTTACAATGTTGCTGTTACTGTGTATGGTGTTCTCCTGGTTCTACTCACTGAGCTTTGTATCAGTTCATGCAAGTCTTCCCAGGTTTTCCTGAAACCATCCTGCTCGTCACTTCTTACAGCACAGTAGTGTCCCATCACAACATACACCACAACTTGTTCAGCCATTCTCCAATGGATGGGCATCTTTTCAGTTTCCAATTCTTTGCCACCACAAAGAAAGCTGCTATAAATATTTGTGTACATGTGGGTCCTTGCCCTTTTGCTTTGATCTTTGGGATACAGACCTAGCAGTGGCATTGCTGAGTCAAAGGGTATGCACAGTTTTATAGCCCTTTTGGACATCATTCCAAATTGCTCTCCAGAATAGCTGGACTAGCTCACAACTCCACCAATAATGCACTAGTGTCCCTATTTTTCCACATGCCCTCCAACATTTCCCATTTCCCTCTTCTGTCATGTTAGCCATTCTGATTGGTGTGAGGTGGTACCTCAGAGCTATTGTAATCTGCATCTCTCTCATCAACAGTGGTTTACACATTTTTTCATGTAACTATTGATAGTTGGATTTCTTCCTTTGAAAACTGCCTTTTCATATCCTTTGACCATTTGTCAATTGAGAAATGACTCTTATTTTTATAAATTTCTGCCTCACTTTCACTTTTTAGAATTCTTCACTTCCTTCAAGCAGAGTTCACCTGCAGTTCCTGTAGGAAGCCACCCCTGATCCCTCCACATGGGAGCGTTCTCTGCCTCCTCTGTTCACTTGTATCGATTTGCCCCATTGAATGTCAGCTCATTGAAGGCAGGGGCTGTCTTGTATCCTGCTTTTTGTAGTATCCTCTAACTCCTTAGCCCAGTACCAGGTGCATCCCATGACCATAGGTGCAGAACTGGCCAGGACATGGCCCCAAGATGACCCAGGTGGTGAGCAAGCACTTAGTTCTTTCTGTTTGTCAGTAGAAGGTAAGCTCCTTGTAGGCAGGGACTAGCCCCAAATCTAGGACATAGTATTCAGACTATCCCAGGGGGTTGGGAACCTCCTGGTGTGAAAGCTGTTTATCTGTCTCAGTCTCTCTGCTGGCCTCCAATCTCACATCTCCAACTACATGTCCAATGGATATCTGAAACTCAACATGAAACTCAACCTGGACTCTTTCTCTTTCCCCCTACACCTCACCCCACACCTACCTTTTTACTGTGGAGGGGGCCCCACCCTCCCAGTCCCTCAGGCTCCCTACCTAGGAGCCATCCTGGTCTCCTCACCATCTCTCACCCCCCCCACCCGATATGGTGCCAAGGCCTGTTGATCCTACCTTTACAACATCTCTCCAACAGCCTCCTCCTCTCCTCTGACCCCACCACCCCCTGGTGCAGACCCTCATCACCTCTCACCTAGACAACTGTGTAGCTGGGTGGGGGGGCTGCATCCTCAGGTCCCTCCCCACTCCAGTCCATACTCCATTCAGCCACCAAAATGATTCCCCCAAAGCACAGATCTGACCATGTCAACCCCCACTCAGTAAACTACAGTGGCTCCCTCTCACCTCTGGCATCAAATACAAAATGCTCCGGTTGGCATTCAAAGCCCTTCATCACCTGCCCCCTCCCACATTTCTGGTCTTCTTGCACCTGACCCCCCCAACATTTGCTCTTTGATCCAGTGATCCTGGCCTCCTTGGGCTGTCCCACAAGCAAGACCCTCCACCTCTCTGCTTGGGCATAGTCTCTGGCCATCCCCCATGCCTGGAAGCCTCTTCCTCCACAACTCCCCCTACTGACCTCCTAGGCTTCCTTTAAGTCCCAATTGAAATCCCATCTTTTCCTGAAGCCTTCCCATTGCCTTCTGTCTGTTAATTATTTCCTGTTTACCCTGTATATTGCTTGCTTTGTATATTGTTTGCATGTTGCATAGCCCATTAGATGGTGAGCTCCTTAAGGTCAGGGACTTTTGGCCTCTTTCTGTATCTCCAGCACTTGGTACAGTGCCAGGTACATAGTAGGTGCTTAATAAGTGTAACAAGAATGGGTTCCAGCTGCGTAGAAGGAGAAGCCTCAGAGGGAGGCAGAACAGACATCTCCAGCCTCTTTTCCCTCTACTCTTTTCCAAGGGAGACTTTATTTCCTGCCAGGAGGGGAAGCGGGAGCTTGGGGTCAGAGGCCACCACTCTGTTCCTCTCAGAGACGGGCTACCAGGCTACTTAGCATAATGCTCAGCACATAGTAGGTGCTTATTAAGTGTTTGTTAGCTGCCTGCCTGCCTTCTCCATCATCCTGTCTTTCAGCTGGTATACTGGAGGCTGTCAGTAACTAAAGAATATTGAACTGCTGAATTTCTCAACATTGTGGTAAAGGCAAAGGGAGAATATTGTTGAAAAGTGCATCCTTCAAAGATCCCCCTTATCATGAGTGTGGGTGTTCTCTCTCTAACCAGGGCCCGTTGCAACCCTCTCTGCCTTAGAGAAAGGGCTTTGGAAGTCACTGAGACCTCCTGAGGAGAGCCCGCTGACGAAGTGAACTGGGCTCCTCCCATGACAGTAGGGGAGCTGTTCCCTTCTGCCACCACTCCCTGCTTAGTAGGACCAGCTATATCCTGCAGAGCATTTGAGGGCCCCAAGAACCGCAGGGGGGCCTCATGAGAAGACATTTGAGCACATTTATCATTGTTCTGGTTTTGAGGTTCTGATTTCCCCATGTAGGGCTTTCTTCAAGGAAAGCCTCTCCTGGAAGGCCTCAGACACTCTGTCCCCTGTGAGTGGGGATGGTTAATGGAGGGAGAGCTTCTCCCCTATTGGGGATATTTGGGAAAGGTTTCATCCAGCCTGTACATCCCTGCCCATGTCAGATGCCCCAGGTGCCCAAAGAAATAGAATCCTTTGTGTTCTATCCCCTGTTGTGCATCCTCCCTGTGATAGACACGTGAGACCAGGATTGGAGGCAGCATTAACTATGCTGCCCGGCTTAGATGGCAAAGAGCTGGACCAGCCCCTCCCCCCGGCCTCCTTGTGCAGGAATGACAACCCACCCACATCTCAATGCCGGGAGAGTGGGGGCTGGGACCCACAAGCTTCCCCCAGGCTCCGCGAGCATAAAGGGATGACCCACTGGGGATCAGGCATCCACAACCTTACCCCACCTACATGCCTGATCCCACAGGCCTACATGACTCACTGATTTAACTCACCACCCTGGGCTGAGTCACCACCTCCTTCTGGATCTTGTCTTCATCTTCAGCTTTCCTTGTTCCTCAGTTTGCCCATCTGCAAAATGAGATAATAACAGCCCCATTTTAAGGTGTCTTTGGGGACTTATTAAAGATGGTAAGTCTGCTTTGAAAAGGTTAAGTGTAGTAATAATTAACTCTTACCACTAATGGGCACCTTGGGTGCAGAGCCTGAGCTCCCAATGGGCTAATGATTGAAGATTAAAGGACAATCACAGATTTTGATCCACCATTTTATAACCAACCATAAAGATGTGCTTCTGACACAAAGTAATGAGTCGGCCAATGTTTGCCGAGCCCCGAGTTTGTGCATGACCCTGGGCCAGGTGAGCCCATGGGGGCGCCTGTCCCCACCCGGCATGCCCCTCTCCTCTGCCCATCCCCAGGGCCAGCCCCTCCATGAAGCCTTTCCCAAGAGCTCCAGCAGGCCTCACCCTCCTCCTGCCCTTCCTCGTTCCACATCCCTCTGCCTGGATCACACCTCCCAGAGACAGGGAAAATGGCAGGCCCTTCATTTTAAACTAAAACAACAAACCCAGAGAGTACAGGGATGTGCCCAGCTCATAGAGTTCATAAGTAGAGGAACCCAGGATTTGAACCCAAGTCCCAAGCACTCATTTACACTCAACTGAGTACTTCTGGTAACTCGCCCCCCTCCATGGGCCTCTACTGCCTTTGCTGGTATTGTCATCTCCTAAGGAGGCTGGGTGGTGCTTGAGGGCAGCAAATCTGCCCCCATTTTGTGAGCACCACTACTGAGCTGAGGAGTGCTGGGCATATTCCAGGTGTCCAATGCATATGCTTTGAACAGAAGGAAGGAAGGAAGGGAGGGAGGGAGGAGCATCTATTAAGTGTTCACTGTGTGTATTTAAAGGTTCAATACATGGAGGGATTAGAATTCTAAGGTCCATATGGCCAAAGCTCTGGCTTTCCAGTAGCAATGTTGGCTGTGAGAGCTGGATTAAAGGAAAAATGGGCACCGCAGAATCATTGCTTTCAAGTTGCGGTGCTGGAGAAGACCTTTGAGAGTAACTTAGGGGGCAGCTAGGTGGCTCAGTGGATAGAGGACCAGCCCTGCAGTCAGGAGGACCTAAGTTCAAATCTGGCCTCAGACATATAACACTCACTAGCTGTGTGACTCTGTGCAAGTCACTTAACCCCAACTGCCTCACGAAAAAAAAAAAAGGAAGGAAAAAAAGAGAGTAACTTGGACATCAAGGGAATCGAATCAGTTAATACTTAAAGAAATTAATTCAGACTATTCCCTGGAAGGTCAAATATTGAAGCTGAAGCTTAATTACTTTGGCCACATCATGAGAAGACAGGACTCATTGGAAAGACTCTGACGTCGGGAAAGATTGAAGGCAAAGAGAGATGGCAGAGCAGAAGATGCGATGGAGAGATGGCGTCATGGAAACGGTGGACATGACCTTGGACGGACCTAGGGAGATAGTGGAGGATGGAAGGGCGCCACGCGCTGTGGTCCATGGGCCATGGAGAGTCAGACACGGCTGGAACATTCAGCAACAACAATGGAGAAGAAGGAGGAGCAGTGGGCGCAAGTGGTGAAGTGGCTGGTTTAGGCTTGATATCAGCTCACAGGGAGAGCTGTGCCCAGGCGGGACGACTCCCTGTGACCCAGCAGAAGCTCTTCAAGATGGATTGTAGAGGGGATAGTGGCTCAGCCCCTCCAAGTGCCTTGGGGACCCTCTCCAAGGGTCAACGACTCCTCAGTGAGTGTTTTGGAAAATCTCCAAATTGAGCAGGATATTTGGAATCCCAATAACTCTACACTGTCCTCCAGGGCTCACAATACAGTTGGCAGAGACAAGCAAAAAGAAGCCTGGATTTGAGGAACTTTCTTGGAATAACAAGAAATGGACTGCCAACACACAAGTCTCCTGAAGTCTTTCCTGTCCATCCGGGTCTCGCTGTCTACACTAGCTACTTAGAGCCACAAAGACAAGTTCTTTATTGCCTGGTGCCTTAATAGATCCATTACCTGACAGCTTAAGTCTGTCTCAACTCAGCCTTTCATAAAATGGGCACAATGGTGTGCCTTTGTTTCCTGATGTATTCTAAGACTTAATTAGCTAATTGATGTTTACAAAGTGCCTTATGAAAATCCTGAGCGGCTAGTATATAGACTACAGCTCGGGTGAGGCTACAGACCTCTGGGTCAGGTGCTGACATCCTAAGGAGCAGGTATCCTCACCGTTGTGGGGGAGGAAGATTCCAGGCTCCTGGCAAATTGGACCCAAGGCAAAGAAGAGAAACTCTGCTGGAGAGGAGCTTCTTGGCCAGACTAGATTGGCCTGGGACAGAGGGGTAGTAAAGATAAGGGGGAACCACCTAATGAGGAATAGAAGGTCCTTGAGGCACAGTCCTCCAGACCACTTTTGACCCCTAGGGTAGTCTCCTTTTTGTGAAAGGACCATGTTTCTCTGGACCTCTTTGCGTCCAAGGAGAAAGGGCATTTCAAAGCCCAAATGCCAAGTCCCTTTGTGTCTCCGCACAATAGCCCAGTAGCAAGTTCAGCAGGACCCATGGCCAGCTCACATTCTAGTCACTCTGGAAAAGAGTCATTTCAGGTTCTGACAGAGGCTGAAAATGGTCTAAAGCATGGCTGGTTTTCCCCAGGATATGGACACAAATGCGAATGTGACTGTGAACATGAAGAGGAGAGGAGGAGGCCTTGTCAGATTTCAAAGCCTTTTCTCTTCCTTGTTTTTAGCCCTTCAAAACAAGGTCAGGATTCAGACATCAGCTGGGTTTCACTCTGATTTTCAGTATCTGACCAGCAGCCTCCCACTGGGGATCTCAAAGCACCAAAAAGCCTAATTAATAACTTGGCAGCATCCTTGGGAGTCAGTTTGGGGATTTCCCTTTCAGGCAAAGTGACTGAAGTACCAGAGCCCAGAGACCAATCCCAGAAATCCCTCCCCTGCTTTGATGGGGGACTTTTCAACCACATTATGCAGAGTCCCTAGTGAGAATGGAAGCCTCCCAGCCAATAGAACAAAGGATCTGAGAAGACTGTTGGGAGCAACAACTCTTGTAATTTCCCTGCCCAAAGCCATCCATGAAGTGGCTGATGAGCAGGGAGCTGCCTGCCACACAGTTGAGGAAGCTGGTGCTGAGCAAAGGGCCTTCTTCATCTGCCTACCTCAGCGATGCAAGCATGGAAATGGTCATTTGTATGCTGGAATGCTTGATAAACCAGGAGTTTTATGGGCACCAGGAGTGTGAAGGGGATGAGCCCAGGGATTTTTAAAGCTTCACCCAGTCCAACCAGTCTGTGGACCTCTGGTGCCTAGAGACATCTCTAAGTCTTAGTGGTAAAACCCAAGGCAGCCTCAAATTCTTTATAATTTTTTCCTAGAAAATATGAATCTTATAAAAATCATTTTCCTTCTTGGGGGCTGGGGTTCTACAAGGCAAATCAAGAAGTCAACAAGCATGTATTAAGCACCTACTATGTGCCAAGCATTATGCTGAGTGTTGGGGACACAAAGAAAGGCTAAAAAAGGTGAAGGAATGAGAGACTAGGTGAGCTCTAGGGTGTCTTTTAGAATTAGCCAGTCAGTCAATAAACATTCCTTAAATATCTATGTGTCAGGCACTGTGCTAAGCCCTGGGGATACAAAAAAGAAGCAAACAGTCCCTGCCCTCAGGGAGTTCACAGCAGAATCAGGGAGACAACGTGTAAACAAACACATACAAAGCGGGCTCCATATGGATAAATAGGAACTAATTAAAATGGAAGGCCCTGGAATGAAGAGGGCTTGGGAAAGGCTTCCTGTAGGAAATAAAAGTTTAATTGGGACTTAAAAGAAGCCAGAGAGGGCAGGAGCTGGAGATAGGGAGGGAGAGCGTGCCAGGCACAGGGAAATGCCCAGAGTCGGAGTGTCTTGTTCATAGCACAGCCAGGAGGCCGGTGTCGCTGGACTGAAGAATGTATTTGAGGGAGCAAAGTGTAAAAAGATTGGAAAGGCAGGAGGGGGCCAGGTTATAAAGGGATGATGAGGGCCTGCACTGGAACAAGAGCAGTGTCAGAGGAGAGAAGGGAGCATATTTAAGAGATGTTGCAGCTCTGAATCAACAGGCCTTGGCAGCAGATTGCATTTGGGGGCTGAAAGATAGTGAGGAGGCCAGGATGGCGCCCGTGGTGGGAGCCTGAGGGTTTGGGAGGAGAGTGTTGCTCTCTACAGTCATAGGGGACTGCTGGGCATCCAGTGTGAGGCCTCCAGCCCCAGTGCCGAAGGCAGACCGCCAGCCCGACAGGCATGAATAGGCCGGGCCACTCCAGGGCAGTGTGCAAGCCTCTGGCACTGGAGGCTCCGGCCCAGAAAGCCAGAGACCGGGCCTCTGGACCCCAGCACGAGCAGAGCTCACCTTTAAAAGTCACAAAATCGTCTAAAACTTGAGTTAGAAGAGCCCTGGCCACAGAAAGCTACCATGGCAACGAGGGAGATCGAACACAGACTCAGAAGAAGACAACAATGTCAAAGCGCCTACAGGTGAAGCCTCAAAGGGGGGACGAATTGGTCTCCAGCCCCAAGAGCCTTCTCGGGTGAACCCAAAAAGGATTTTAAAAATCAAGTAAGAGAGGTCGAAGAAAAATTAGGGAGAAGAAATCAGAACTATGCAAGAGAGAGCCAACAGCTTGGAAAAGGAAGGACGAAAATTGACTGAAGAAAACAATTCCTCAAAAAATGCAACTGGCCAAATGGGGGGAAACCCACTGGAGAAAACAACTCCCTAAGGGGCAGCTAGGTGGCGCAGTGGATAGAGCACCGGCCCTGAAGTCAGGAGGACCTGAGTTCAAATTCGGCCTCAGCCCAAACTAGCTGTGTGACCCTGGGCAAGTCACTTAACCCCAATTGCCAAAAAAAAAAAAGCCTTCTTAAAAAGTTGTTGCTGATGCATTGTTGGTAGAGTTGCGAACTGATCCAACCATTCTAGAGAGTTTGCAACTATGCCCAAAGAGCTATAAAAATGTGTATAATCTTTGACCCAACAATACCACTTCTAGGTCTGTATTCCAAAGAGATCATACTAATGGGAAAAGGACCCATGTGTACAAAAATGTTTATAGCAGCTCTTTTTGTGGTGGCCAAGAATTGGAAATTGAGGGAATGCCCATCAGTTGGGGAATGGCTGAACAAGCTGTTGTATAGGTATGTAATGGAATACTATTGTGCTATAAGAAATGATGAGCAGGCAGACTTCAGAAAAACCTGGAAAGACTCGTATGAACTGATGCTGAGTGAAATGAGCAGAACCAGGAGAATGTTGTACACAGTAACAGCCATATTGTGTGATGACTAACTTTGATAGACTTAGCCCTTCTCAGCAATGCAAGGATCCAAGACATCTCCAAAGGACTCATGATGGAAAATACTATCCACATTCTGAGAAGGAACTATGGAGTCTGAATGCAGATGGAAGCAGATTATTTGCTCTCTTTTTCTTTTGTTGTTTTGTTTTGTTTCTTCTTTCTCATGGTTCCTCCCACTGGTTCTAATTCTTCTTTACAACATGACTAATGTGAAAATAGATTCAACGCGAATGTGTATGTAGAGCCTATATCAGATTGCACACCATCTTGGGATGGAGGTGGGGAGGGAGGGGGAGAAAATGTAAAACTCAAAAGCTTATGGAAGTGAATGTTGAAAACTAAAAATTAATTAATTAATTAAAGGAAAAAATATTTTTTATTTTAAGTAGCAAAAAAAAAAAGTTGTTGTTATTTGTCCTTCATTCTGGAAGAGGACCATGAATTGACCAAATGGAAAAGGAAGTACAGAAGCTACCTAAAGAAAATAATCCCTTAAAAATTAGAATTGGGTAAGTGGAAGCTAATGACTCTATGAGACATCAAGAATCAGTCAAACAAAATCAAAAGAATGAAAAAATAGAATAAAATGTAAAATGCCTCATTAGAAAAATAACCGACCTGGAAAACAGATCCAGAAGAGATAATTTAAGAATTATTGGACTGCCTGAAAGTCATGATTTAAAAAAAAAAAAAAGCATGGACAGCATCTTTCAAGAAATTGTGAACGAAAACTGCCCTGATATCCTAGAACCAGAGGGTATAATAGCAATTGAAAGAATCTACTGATCACCTCCTGAAAGAGATCCCAAAATGAAAACTCCAAAGAATATTGCAGCCAAATTCCAGAATTATCAGGTGCAGCAGCTCAAAAGAAACAATTTAAATATCAAGGAGCCACAGTCAGGATTACACAGGACTGAGCAGCTTCTATATTAAAGGATCAGAGGGTTTAGAATATGATATTCCAAAAGGTAAAGGAGCTTGAATTACAACCAAGAATCAACTACCCAGCAAAATTAAGCATAATCTTTCAGGGGGAAAGATGGACATTCAATAAAATAGGGGACTTTCAAACTTTCCTAATGAAAAGACCAGAACTGAAAAGAAAATTCAATCTCCAAATACAATACTCAAGAGAAGCAGCAAACGAAAAACAGGAAAGAAAACACATGTTATTCAATAAGTTTAAACTGTTTACATCCCTACCTCGGAAGACAACACTTGTAACTCTTGAGAACTGTATCTCTATTAGGGCAATTAGAAGGATCCGACATAGACAGAGGATATGGGTATCAGTTGACTTTGATCTGATGATATAAAAAAAATTAAGGGGTGAAAAAAGGATTGTACTGGGAGAAGAGGAAAGGTGGAGGCAGAAGAGGGTAAATTACAGCACATGAAGAGGCACAAAAGCCCTATTACAGTAGAGGGAAAGAAGGAAGCAGGTGGACATTGTTTAAACCTTACTCTCATCGGATTTGTCTCAAGGAGGGAATGACATACACACTCAGTTGGGTATAGTTGAGTATATATTTATCTTACCCTCTAGGGAAGTAGGAGGGGAAAGGGGAAAGAAAAGGGAGAGGGAGTTGATAGAAGGGAGGGCAGATTGAAGGAGGAGGTGGTCAGAAGAGAAGAGGGCATTGAATGTGGTGATGAAGAGATCCAAAAGTCACATTGTAAAGAGTTAAAAAGACAATGAGAGGAGATTATAATGAAGCCACCTATTGTAGAGGCCTTATCCACAAAGGGCACATAAGCTGGGCTTGCCCACTTCTAACATGGAGATGCTTCTGAGAGACTTTTGGACGATACTCAGCTCCCTTAACACAGAGCTGTCTGCATCCCCTCTCATGGGGGAGGGGGCGGCATCTTTCAGTTGGCATCCAGCATCTTCAAAACTAGCAGGACTGAGCCACAGGCTCCCTTACTGTTGATCACATCAGCACCTCTCATTTTCTGTGCCTAGCAAAGACACAGGAACTAAAATGATGAGAGGGAAGGACTTCCTCCTCCTGCCCCTGCTCTTCTGCCTCCACTCTGAGAAATGGGCCTGGGATGTGAGTTTCTCTTCCAGGTTGTTTATCCTCCTCAGTTTCAGGCACCTGAGATGATCCCCATTTGGGGATTTGGGACTTGGAACTTCTCTAAGCTCTGAACCTAATCCTCTTCCCTTCCCCAGAGACTCAGATGGTATAAGCAGGGAGAAGAATTGTGCTTTTTACATGTTTGTGGAACAAATTTGTCTATTTGTGATTATGTCTTCAGAAATAGATGTTTCTTTGTCAAAAATAATCTGACTTTTAGTGATTAAGTGGAAGTGGGCTACAAAAGACCACCCCCTACAATTGAGACAACACCACTGGGGGCTGGGGCTGTTTGCAGAGGGTTTAGATAGACACCAACCCCCCTTCAAGGCACTGGAGAACCCTGGGAGAAGTGTGAAAATCTTGCCTACCTGGCCTTCAAATCAGGAGAAACCAAGGTGGCCTTTGTTACAGGCAGAAAAGATACTTGACGACAGCAGAGATTAGAGAATCAAGTGAAGGTTTGGGTTTTTTCTGGATGGAGCAGATATGAGTATCTTTGTAGACAGTAAGGAAAGAGACAGTAGATAGGAAGAGATTGAAGGTAAATAATAGATTAGGGATGACTGAGACGAGCGATTTGTTGGAGGAGAAGGGATAGAATTGGATCATTTGAATAGGTGGAAAGGTTAGCCTTGGCAAAAAGAAGCACCACCTCTTCATATGAGGCAGGAGTGAAGGAGGAGATAGTGGCAGAAGGCATATCATGATAGGAGCTGAGAAAAGGGAGAGAAGAGTGATCTCATGGGTGAATAGCCTCAATTTCTTTCTGTAAAGTATGAGGCAAAGTTCTCAGCTGAGAGAGTAGGGACAAGAGGAGCCATGGGAGGTTAATACACCAGAAACTTATGGTTTGAAGCATGGGAGCATTAATACTCTAGAGCTTCTGATTTCTAGAAACAGCCAAACCTTCTTCCATATTGCTGAAGAACTGACTTTATTGATGTGGCAGGTATATCTCACTCACCTCTAGAATCTCAAATTATGTGGATTCTGAGAAGGGGAGTCCAAAGCTCAAGTGCCCATATCATGCCCACTCTATCAACAGATCAGGCCGAAATTGGAAATCAAATCCCAAAGAATTGAATTGGAACAGAATACACACACATACTCTTAAAACCATCTTAAAACTCATGCGCTCTCCACCCTGATCCACAGCTGGCCAGTAATCCGACCTAAAATATACCTACAAATGTGACAAAGTGCTTGGGCTGTTGGGCTTGGAGGTAGGAAGACCTGAGTTCAAATCCTGTCTCAGATATTTACTAGTTGTGTTTCTCAGCCTCAGGTTTCTTATCTGTAATATGGGGATAGTAGTAAAACCTCCCTCACAGATGTATTGTGAAAACCAAATGAGATCTAACAGGTGTCAAGGGCTTTGCAAACCTTAAAGGGCCATGTAAATGCTAACCATCTTTATTATACTTAATATGGGGATCTGACTTATGCTTAGAGCCCTTCAATGAGGGAGAACCAAGCTGTATATATGAGGCTTGACCTCTTGTGCACAAAAAGTGAGTTCCACAAAGAACACACATAGCAAATAGAAAATAAGCCCATTTATCCAAATCAACAGTAAACTGAAATCAGAGAAAGTATACACATGAGCAAATAGCGCAGAGAATACACAGAGTGAATGAGTTCTCCCATTGGCTTCGAATAACTCGGCTAAACCAAGAGAGAGTCCCAGATCCCACTGAAAGGCTGGTGTTGGGAGCTGGAGGTGGGGGGCATCAGCTTCTTCCCTTCAGGGACCTACCTGAACAAGGTCTGGAGCCATGCATCTTCTATCTTGCAGCCAGAAGCCGGGATGCTAGACTTCCCCATCTCTCAAACTTTCACAATCTCCATCGATGAAAAAAATCTAATGCAAATGTACTCTGAGCCATGCTTGCATTTGCATTCTTAGCACAGTGCCCACCACTTGGTACTGCTTGTTGACTGACTGATTGATCTGTCGTCTATTATCCCAACCTCCCCTGATGACTAGAGTCCAGTCTCTACCAGGGCCCCTAGTACCAGATGGCAGTCACCTGACCTTTCTCTGCTTGGAGAGACAGCTTTGATCTTGGACTAGGATTCGTCCTTTTCTCTGGAAGCAGCCAGTGGATACAGCGCTGGAGCTGGAGTCAAGAAGACCAGACTTCTAATCATGTCCCAACTGTGTGACCCTGGATAAGTCACTGAAGTCCTTCAGCTTCAGTTTCCTCATCTGTAGAACGCCAATCATCTAGACACCTCCCAGAGGATTAAATGAGATAATATTTGTGCAGCACATTGCAGACCTCAAGAGCTACATAACTACTAGCAGCTATTCATGACCCTCACCTTTTGCTCTCCTTCTCCGGGCCAGTTTCCCCACTTCAGACCTGCTTTTGATATCACACCCCTGCAATGCCGTCCATCTTCACACCCCTTAACCCTGAGGATCCTGGCCTTGCACAGACCCCGATCTTCTGCCTGGATCCAGCCCAACCTCCCCACAGCCTCTGCCAGACCAACACCTATCCCAGAGCCGCCATGGCCCCTTGTCCAGGCTTAGCATTCCTTACTGCCATTCCTGGAAGTAGGGCCAGCTCAAGGCATGATTCCCAAGCTGTCCTTCCCCTGCCCCCTCTCATGGTTCCTCTCCACTGCTCCCCCGTGACCCATACCCCAGTGCCCCCGTCTGCTGCTCAAACCCCTCACTGCTGCATTCCTCCAACATGAGACCCACTCTAGGTTCCAAAATTAGGTTCTCCTTCTCACCAGTCCTTCCAGGTTCAATGATCTCCACCAGGCACGAGAAAGAAAACATTCTCATTAATGCTATCTACAGCACAGCATCCAGAATGAGGGCATGGTGGTGGGCTGAGCCAACACCGCCACAGGTCTCAGATGGAGGACATGTTCTAATAGCAGTTTGACTTGACTGGAATAAAATACCCTGATGAAGGAGCAGAAACAAGCAGATAAAAGTATCTCAAGTATAAGATGGGGGAGGTATCAACAATTCATCTGAAAAAGATCTGTGCATCTTAGCAAACCAAAAGTTCACTTCCTATCAGTCAACAGTGTGACATGGCAGCCTTCCCAAGTCTAATCCATTCCTTGGTTTTATTCCAATGGGCAGGACATCCAGTCCTAGGGAGCCCCAGGTCCCTCTGCCCATCCTCTGCCCTGGTCAGAGATCTGGACGGTTGGGCTCAGTTCCAGGAGCCCTGTCGTAGGAGAGGCACTGATAAGCCAGAAAGTATCCAATGGCAGACTAGAACAGTGGGGGACTGGAAACACTTTCACACAGGATCGGTTGAAGGAAGTAGAGGTGTCTGGCTAGAGAAGAGAAGACTTGAATGGGAGGTGCTATCTGTCTTCAAGTATTTAAAGGATTATCACTGGAAAAGAAATTTGGTGCAGTAGATACAGAGCACCAGGACCGAAGTCAAGAAGACCCGAATTCAAATCCAGCCTCATGCACTTACTAGCGATGTGTCCCTGGGCAAGTCATTTCACTGCTATCTGCCTCAGTTTCCTCATTTGTAAAATGGGGATAATAATGGCACCTACATCCCAGGAATGGTGTGAGGATGGAGTAAGATAATAATTGTAAAGTGCTTAGCGGAGTGCCTGGCACATAACACTAGATAAATGTTGACTATTAGTTATAATAATAATGATTATTCTCCTTCAAGCCAATTTGTTGTTATTTCTGTTCAGTCGAGTCTCTGAGTCTTCATGACCCCACTTGGGGTTTTCTTGGCAGAGATATTGGACTCATTTGCCATTTCCTTCTCCAGTTCATTTTTACAGATGAGAAACTGAGGCAAACAAGTTAAATGACTTGACCAAGGTCATACAGCTAGTGAGTGTCTGAGGTCGGATTTGAACTCAGGGAGATGAGTCTTCCTGATCTCTGGCCCAGGGCTGTCATTGGGGGCTGGCCTCAGGTAGATCCTCTGGGTCGGCACACCTCTAGGCCTCCTGGGAGGAGTCCCTGAAGAACAGCTACACCCTCTGTGGCTGAATTTGCTTGGCTGCTCCCAAGTCATCCATCCTGCACAGACAGGGTGAGAATCAACATGGCAGCTGTCTTTCCTAGAGGTCTTTGACGTCTGATGATGCGTCCCAGGCAGCAGCACCTCCTCTGGTGCTGCTGCTGCCCCATTGCACAGATTCAGAAACTGAGGCTCAGGAACAGAAAAAGACTTGCCTAGAGTTACACAGGTGATAAGTGTCTGGGTGGGATTTGAACCCAGATCTCCCCTGACTTGAAGGTCATTGGCCTTTCTGCTCCACTGAAGTTCAGTCTACTCTGGTGCAGGAAGATGATGAAATCAGAGAGTTGGGGATGCTTGGCTAGGGGGCATGAAAAGGGCACCCCTGAGTCATTTAAGACATTCTTATTTAAGTCCCTCTCTGCTGCCTGTGAGCCACTCATGCCCAGACCTAGGGAGGGCAGACATGGCCAGGTCTGCTCCTGGTAACAGAGAGGACAGAGAAATCAGCCAGATTTCAGTCATCATTCATATTTCCCCCAAAATGGCTTTTCGTTCAGTGAGTAAACAGTTCTCAAGTGCTGCCATGTGCCAGGCAGGAGAAAAACCAACTGAGGAAGGTGGGAGACTCAAAACCCGTGACAGGGAACTCCCATGATACCCTGCAGAGCCTGGGGGACAGCTGGCCTCTCTGTCATCCCTGTCTGTGCCTCCTTCCCAAATCAGTCTGTAGATGGTTTCCATCTAACATGTCTGCTATTTCTCACCAGAAAAGTGTAAGCTCCTAGAGGGCAGGGGAGTTTTGGTTCTGTCCATCCCCAGCACCAGCACACTGGAGGGACATCATAAAGGTTTATCACGCAGATGAATCAGCAAAGGAACTCAGATATGGAGAGCAGCCAATTATCCCCCTGGGGCCCCCCCAAAATGCCTGGATCCTGGGGTTCCCCTGAGATCAGAGCCCTGGCCATCCAGGAAGCCTGCAATCCCAAGGCTCTACAGGGGGTCTGGGAGGGGCTGCATGATAAAGGTCTCTTGGCTGCATTCCAGCCTGCCGAGGACCCCAGCAGCCAGTGCCTGTGCAGGCCACCCAAAAAGCTTAGCTCTTCTCAAAGCTAAACCATTGAAATGTAATTGCATTCTTTTAAAAGCTTACATGAGCTCCTGGCTGATTCTGTTTGAAGTTTTTGTTGGCAGAAAGCCGGGATAGTCTGAATAACTCACTCATTAGCCAGCCACTCACGAGGGGCAGGCATCATTGCCCGCTACTGCCAAGGGCCACTCTGTCCTGGAGTCCACCTCACACTCCCCGGTGAAAGGGAGATAAATGGACAGTCACGAATGACCTGAATTAACATTCCCATTCTCACACACACACACACACACACACATTCTGCCTCTTTCTCTCTGTGTCTCTCTCACATACACACACTCACATTCACACTCATACACACACTCTCACAACTGCACACACACTCTCACACACACTTAGAACTGCGCACACACTCACATACACACATTCACAACTGCAAACACATAAGCACACTCACAACCGCACACACACTCATGCTCACTCACATGCTCACAACTACATACACTCACACACTCACATACACTTGCACAACTATGCACACACTCACACACATACGAGATTCTTTACCCCTGGCACAGGCTAGCCCTGGGTGCCAAAGACCAGACTTCTCAGGAGCTCACTCCTTCCTCCCAGGCTCCCTCTCACCTTCCAGGACATACTTTGTCCCTTGGGGTTGGTACAGAGGGTTCTGCCTGTGCCTTCAGATCTCAGCCGGTGATGCCAGCTGGAAGGGGGTAAGGATAGGGAAATACCAGTTATCTTGGTCACATACTGCCGAGTCGCTGTCTGAGCCCTAACCCGAGGAACCCCCAGAAGGGATCAGAAAAGACAAAATCAGAACTCACAGAAGAAACAAAGCAGTTGGGGTCCAGCAGAGGAAGTCCCATTTCCCAACAGGAGTTAAGGGAAGAAAGCTGGGCTTCGGGACAAAGGTGCCATCCTGTGCCGTGGCTCTGGAGAGATGGAATTTGAGATATGAAGTCAGCACCACTCCAAACCTGTCTAGAATGTGTGAACTCACTCATTTCCACGATGAGATTCTTAATTGGGCTCCAGCCTCCTCCTTTCCTAGTCTATCCTCCATAGAGCTGGCAAATGGATATTCCTCCAATCCAGATCCGATCATGGCCCTCCCATTCTCAAACATCTTCAAAGCGTCCTTGTCTCTAGGATAAAAAACCGAACTCATCTTCAACTTGGCATGTAAAGAAATCCAGCTGCTGCCTGTCTCCTCCTGTTCCTCCCTTTGCAGCATCACGGTGTAGAGAACCTGCCTGCCAGATACCGGCTCTGCCACCCTGGGCAGCTTACTTCCCCTTCCCTTGCTGCAGGCCAGAGGGGTCAGATGCACAACCAGAACCAGATTAAAATGTCCTTGGGAAACGCTGAACAAAAGAAATAAAAATAAAGCAGAGCATAGATAACGCTGTGGCGCGGTTTTCTGAGTCAGTGTGCCTGGCAGCGGATTCTGACGTCCTGTTGAGGGGCTCTCCTTTCTGTTGGCTCAGGCTGCTCCCCAGGCTGTAAGTGACAGAGAAGGTGGGAGCCTTCCCTAATAAAGGGCACTTCCTCATCTGAGTAGAGTTTCTATGATCAATGAAATCTCTGAACCAGGGCCCTTGTCCCTTTCCCTGGCTCCTTTACAAATGCTCTCCTCTACTCAAACAGGCAAGCTACATATATAAGACCTGGAACCCATTCTGTCCCAGACTCCACCTTTTAGAATCCTTAGCTTCTTCCAAAGCACATCTCAGGTATTTGCATCTACCCCCTGCCTTTCTCCAGGCAGCTTAATGGAGAGAGAGAGCCTGGCCTAGAGTCAGAGAGACCTGAATTCAAATATGGCCTTAGACACTTAAAAGGTGGGCAAGTGATCCTGGGCAAGTCATTTCAATTCTGTTTGCCTCAGTTTCCTCAACTGTTCAATGGGGGATGATAACAGCACTTACCACCCAGGTCTATTATGAGGATCAAATGAGATCATATTTGTGAAAAAGCTCTTATCACAGCGCCAGGCACACAATAGCATGTGCCATCCCTGTGAAGTGGCCAGATGCAAGACTTTACCTTCGTCTCTGTTGAATACTGTCTTACAGCATTCAGCCCAGTGCTGAATGTGTATAGCCTGTGAAGGTCCCTTCAGTCCTGACTCTGCCCTCCACCACATGAGCTCTCCCTCCCAGCGGGGTGTCATTTGCAGATTTGATGAGCTCATCACCTGTCTTTAGACAAACACTCAGGGCCCAGCCTGGATCTCTGAGGCTCTCCACCGAGACTCTTGGCCCACAGACAATGAGCCACTGACAAACCTCTGAGTCCAGCTCACAGTCAGTGGGTTGGATTAGGGTCTAGTCCAAATCTCCTCTTCTCCACTACAACAGGATGAGATACTTTAGCAAAAGCTCAGTTAAAATCTGGGGAGATTCTCTCCACAGCACTGTCTCTTCCCTGCCAGAACAGAAAATGAGCTCAGTCTGTTAGAGCTGTTCTTGAAAGAAGCCCTGCTGGCTCCTGGCGGTCACTGGTTCTTTCCCGATCTGTACTTGCCTGCCATCTCTCAATGATCCATTTTAGGATTTTTCCAGAAATTTAAGTCAAGTTAATATCCCATTTTGGAAAATCAGGACTTTGGCCCTTCCTCAATCCTGTCTTGCCTCTCCCATTTTTCTTGAACTTTCATTGACACTGGTTGAGGAGAGGGAGTTTTTTTCTTTCTTTCTAGTGTTTTTAATAGGAATGGGTGTTGTATTTTGTCAAAAGCTTTTTCTGCATCTATTGAGATGATCATGTGGTTTCTGTTGGTTTTGGTGTTGATATGCTCAATGATGCTGATAGTGTTCCTAATATTGAACCAACCCTGCATTCCTGGTATAAATCCTACCTGGTCACAGTGTATTATTCTTGTGAGAAGTTGCTGTAATCTATTTGCTAATGTTTTGTTTAAATTTTTTGCATCTATATTCATTAGAGAAATTGGTCTATAATTTTCTTTCTCTGTTTTGACTCTTCCTGGTTTAGGTATCACACCATATTTGTATCATAAAAAGAATTTGGTAAGACTCCTTCTTCACCTATTTTCCCAAATAGTCTATATAGTATTGGAATTAATTGTTCTTTAAATGTTTGATAGAATTCGCATGTAAATCCATCTGGCCCTGGAGATTTTTTCCTAGGGAGTTCATCAATGGCTTGTTCAATTTCTTTTTCTGAGATGGGGTTATTTAAGTATTTTACTTCCTCTTCTGTTAATCTGGGCAATTTATATTTTTGTAAATATGTATCCATTTCACTAAGATTGTGAAATTTGTTGGCATATAGTTGGGCAAAATAATTCCTAATTATTGTTTTAATTTCCTCTTCCTTGGTGGTAGCTTCACCCTTTTCATTCTTGATACTAGTAATTTGGTTTTCTTCTTTCTTTTTTTAATTAAATTAACCAAAGGTTTATCTATTTTATTGGTTTTTTCATAAAACCAGCTCTTAGTTTTATTTATTAGTTCAATAGTTTTCTTAATTTCAATTTTATTAATTTTTCCTTTTTTTCAATATTTCTAATTTGGTGTTTAGTTGAGGATTTTTAATTTGTTCTTTTTCTAGTTTTTTTAGTTGTATGCCCAATTCATTAATCTCCTCTTTTTCTATTTTATTTATGTAAGCATTTAGAGATATAAAACTTCCCCTAAGAACTGCTTTCGCTGCATCCCATAAGTTTTGGTATGTTGTCTCATTATTGTCATTCTCTTGAATGAAATTATTGATTGTTTCTATGATTTATTGTTTGACCCAATCATTTTTTAGGATTAGATTATTTAGTTTCCAACTATTTTTTAGTCTATGTTTCCATGGCCCTTTATTACATATAATTTTAATTGCATCATGATCTGAAAAGGATGCATTTAATATTTCTGCCTTTCTGCATCAGATTGTGAGGTTTTTATGTCCTAGTACATGGTCAGTTTTTGTGTATGTGCCATGTACTGCCGAGAAAAAAAGTAGATTCCTTTCTATCCCCATTCAGTTTTCTCCAGAGGTCTGTCATACCTAACTTTTCTAATGTTCTATTCACCTCCTTAACTTCTTTCTTGTTTATTTTGTGGCTAGACTTATCTAGTGCAGAGAGGGGCAGGTTCAGGTCCCCCACTAGTATAGTTGCGCTGTCTATTTCTTCCTGTAACTCCCTGAACTTCGAGGAGAGGGAGTTTGAACATTTTAACACCTCCTCAACAGCGCTCGACAGCCCCGCCCCCAAAAACACCATTTTCGCAAGGATTATTCGGTCCAGGCTGAACGCGAAGTAGACATCCCTGATGCATTTGTGGCGTCTCCCTCGGCAGAACTGAATGAAGCTTCTTGAGAATGCACGCTTGTCTCTGTAGCCTCAGTGCCTCATCAATATCTGGCACATAGTAGGTGCTTAACAAGCATTTGTTGATTGATCGATTAAAACTGTTCCCAAATAGTCCCTTTTCCTCAGGAGGAAGGAGTCTATCATTAGACATTCATTCCTTTGGATCACAAAGGCTTTTGCTTTTTCAAGGTTCCCTGTCCAAAGACAAATACCCAGAAGAGGTCGACACCCAGAACAATTCCTAATGCCTGAAAACATGGACTGGTGACCCATATGTTGGGGTCAGGAGGACAGATAGTGACTCAGGGTGAAAGCGATTGGGAAAGAAGGAGCGGTGCTGCCACCTTTAAGGGGGAGCTGTTGACCGGCCAGAGAGGCCCCCAAAGAGATCTGGGGGTTGTTGTGCTCAACAAGGTCGGAGGACTCAGCAGTGTGACCCCAAGGAAGCCGACAACATCCTTGGCTGCGTGAACGAGGACCAGAACCTGTTGCAGTCACTTGATATCTATCGAGGGAACCATTCCACAGTGCTCTGCCCCCACCAGACCACATTTGGAGTAGTGACCTTGTACAGTCCAGGGTACCCCATTTCAGAAAGGACATTAGTAAACTGGAAAGCAGAGTGAGAAGCCTGGGTGGAAGGTGGGAGAGGGCAGAGGAAAGGGACCCTGTAGCTTAGGGGGATGATGCCGCCTACCTCGGGATCATTGCCCCCCTCAGATTAGAAAATCAATCAAGTGGCATCTAAGTGCCTACCATGCACCAGGAACTTGGGAGTCTATAAGCAACAGTGAAACAGGCCCTGCTCCCAAGGGGCTTCCCTTCTGTTAGAAACAATAGGTTGGTCAATACAAAGTCAGTCTAAGAGAGGGCGTCAATACAGAGTTGTGGGGGTGGGATGGCAGGAGGGGCTGCGGCAGCTGAACGCAATGGAGGGTTCCAGGTGGCCGAGGTGAGGATGGGGTGGGGGTGGGGCAGCCTGAGCAAAGGGGTGGGCCAGGGCAGCTCTGGTTATTATGGAAGGGTTTGAAGGGCTGAGCTAGGAAGAGCGCTTAGGCTTGCTCTGCTTGGCCCCAGAGGAAAGAGCTAAGAGTAATGGGGGGCAGTGGTACAGGCAGGCAGGCAGGAAGACTTCCAAATGATGACAGCTGCCGCACTGTGGGAAGGGCTGCCTCCAGAGACCAGGGGCTCCCCCTCAGTAGAGATCTCCCGGTAACGGCTGGAGAAACCTTTGTCTAGGATGTTGCCTAGGACATTTTTGTACACATTTTGACAGGACTAGATGCCACTGGGATTCTCAATAAAAGATATGTGAGGCACTTTCACTGAGGAGCTAAGTCAGGCTTCCCAGCAGCAAGCCTACCTCCACTCTTCTTCCATGGGTTTTGAGGATCAAATGAGATTATATCTGGAAAGGGCTGAGCACAGTACCTGACACACAGTAGATGTCTTGGTCGGGGCCAGGTGGCCTTCAGCTTGCAAGCAGGGTTCCAGTTTCCCAGCTGGGTGGTCCCAGCCCAATCTTCTTACTGCCTTTCCCTCAGTGGGACTGACATCCCCCGCCCCACCCAGCTGGCTCTGTCATATTGCCTGGTCTATGGCTGCTCCCCTTTCTAGCAAAGAGACCCAAGCAGGGGGCAGTGCCTGGGACAGGGGCTTCCCTAGCAGGGCTGGGCTCCAGTGCCCTTTCAGGTCACCCTAACAGCTGTAGCCTCTCCAGAGACGAAGGAGAAAAGCCTGGTAGGCAAATCAGGGCTTGTTCCTACACAAGCCTCTGACAACTTGGTGTCACCAGGGATCCTTACATGAACATTCAGCAGCACCTGGCTGCTGTCCCTTGCTCAGGAGTCACCAAATGGGGGTTTGGCTGAGGGTTATAATAATAATAATAATTATTATTATTATTATTGATGATGCTAACAGCTACTACCAACAGTTAGCTTTTATATAGTACCTACTAAGTTCCAGGAACTGTGCTAACCACCTTCCAAATATTATACCATTGGATATTCACAACCACGCTGAGAGTTAAGTGCTGTTATTATTCCCATTTTACAGTTGAGGAAACTGAGGCCAAGAGAGGTAAATGACTCGGCCAAGGTCACACAGCTGGTAAGCGTGTCTGTTGCTGCACTTGGGCTCAGGCTTTCCTGACTCCCAGGCCAGGGTTCCAT